TGTTGAAGACTTTTTCACGTTTTTTTTCTTCTTCTCTCTGCGAAATTTGTTTTACAATTCTCGAAAAACCTTTGTGCTTCAAATTTTCTTCATCTTTTTCAAATATTCTGCATATGTTACTATGTATGTATCATCTCGTGAGTAGAAATTGGGAAGCAACAGAAGAGTTGGAAGCAAAGGATCGAGAAACATAGGAAGGAGATATTGGAAGAAATGGCGTTGTAGCTTCTCTTATGAAATGCCTTCTTTCGCACGGACATAAGCTAAAACTAGAGGAGGCAGAATCTGTTGCAATGAGATGCTTGTGAACTTTGATGGCAGAATCTTGCGAACCGTGAATTCTTGTTCTTCTTCAAGATGAATATATGGTCAGTGTGATCAATGAGGAAGGTGTGAAATGCAATATCGCCATTGCTATTGCTCCAACTACTCAACCTTTCAATATCTTCTCTTATACCATTACAAGCACATTTTTGTGTTTGGTTTTCCAACAACTTTTTGTAAAGTTTTTTTTTTACTTTTATATAAAGTTTACCATTTATCAAAAGAAATATAAAAAAGGATTGCTATTGCTGATTTGGAAATTTTCACATGAAAGATCAAGTAAGATAAAAAGTTTGCACATATTGCAACGTAAAAGAAATGAGTTCGATGAAGCTATCACACTCAAGCAACGAGAAACAGTAGAACAGTGAGCATGAAGGTCTCGTAAGTGAAAGTAGCTGAGCCTGATAACGCCTATCCGATCTCCTTGAACTTCTCAGTCAGCCCCTGCAACCATTTTATCAAACATCAAGACACAAACACTCATTCTATATATAATGTAAAAACAATTTGGTCCAAGTGTCTAAGAACGTGACCCTAGAAATAAAAAAAAGCATACCTTTAACAATCAAACAGCACCTGCATCAACCCAAAAACCAGAATCATCAGTATGAAATTTTATTTGTTTTACAGAGAAAAAACATAGTTAAGGGGTTGAAACTAATGAACATACGTAATGAAATTGTCATATTCGATAGCCCTATCCCTTCCTCCGCTTCTGTCAAACTTTTCAATGAGCAGATCCAAAATCACAGGAGACACCGAAAACCCAAGTTTCAAGAGTGCATCTCTCAGCTCGTTTGTATCGATTCTGCCGCTTCTGTCCTTATCAAAAACCTCTCAAATATGGACTGAAAACCAAATCTAAAAACCCCAACATCAAACAAAACGACAGAATTTTCTACCGGAATCGACGCCGCAGTGAGGGAAAGACGCGGCAGTGGACAAAATCTTCTCGTCACAGAAAACACAAAAGGAAGCTGGGGAGTTAATTTGACGAATAATTTAAACTTTTATTTTTTATTGTTTTTAATTGTTATATGTTTTTCTGAGTTTAAAAAATAATTTTAAAAAATTACTAGAATGAAAATTTGAGGGTAATTTTGGGTTTCAAAAAAATAAATCTTATAGGGACAAACCCTTAGATTATTCATCTTAATGGGACAAATGATTTAGGAAATTGTCCTAAATTTTTAATTATCTCAAATGACAATTGAATAGCAGAGTAATTCAAGATTCTGATGTTTCTCTACCTATCATGACATTATTTGATAATGCAATACTAAAGTGATATGACAATACAAAATTGGTAAAATACAAATTGGTAACATGATATGACAATACAAATTTGGTAAAATAAAAAATTTGATAATACAATAGCAACTTGATTCCAAGTTCTATAAATAGCATTAAAACTCCATATGTTTCATCACAACCCCAATAAATACTTATTACTTTTCTTATTAAATTCTATCTCTTGAAATGAATTCTAATTTTCCAATTTTACTGCATTTTCATGATTCATCATCATCCTCTTCAGATGATGACAATATGGAAATGATCAATAGTCTCGAAGAAGAAGAATAAGCGATACATCTTGCTATTGCTAATAACAATGCAATTATTCAATACCTTCTTAGCCAACAAAGCAACCAAGTGATCCACAGTGATTTGGTTCATGGACGCTCTTTCATACACCATGATCGAGAAAGCGCACATTGTAGATTATTCAACTACTACTTCTCAGACAGCCCTCATTACAATGATGCTATGTTTCGCAAGAGATATCAAATGTCTCGCCCCTTATTTCTTCGTATAGTCAATACTGTTCAAACTCATGACAAGTACTTCAAACGATGAAAGGATTCAACTGGTAGACTTGGATTATCCTCTCTACAAAAACTAACATCCGTGTTTCGGATGCTAGCATACTGTGTACCAGCTGATGCCACAGACGAGCACATTAAGATAGGCGAATCAACGATAATTGAAAGTATGAAGAGATTTTAGAGCCGTAATGGAAATATACTCAGCTCAATACCTGTGTTCACCAACACCTGATGATGTTTCTAGGCTTCTTTACATTGGTGAAAAATGAGGTTTTCCAGGAATGCTAGGTAGCTTGGATTTCATGCACTGGAAGTGGAAAAATTGTCCAACCGGCTGGACTGGACAATATGCTGGTTGTACTTGATCACCAGGTATAATTCTTGAAGCTGTAGCGGATTATGATCTTTGGATATGGCATGCATATTTCAGAATGCCTGGCACAAATAATGATATCAATGTATTGGAGTCTTTCCATCTTTTCTCCAATCTTGCTCAAGGTATTGCTCCTCCTGCTCATTATTTCATTCAAGGAAAAAAATATGATATGGGCTATTATTTGGCTGATGGTATATATCAAAATGGTCGACCATTGTGCAAACTATTCATGAGCCAGTGGGTTCAAAAAAAAAATATTTTGCTACACAACTAGAAGCTTGCAGGAAAGATGTGGAACGTGCATTTGGAGTTCTTCAATCATGTTTCGCAATTGTGAAAGGGTCAGCTCGTTTTTGGGATAAGAATGTGTTACATTACATAATGACTACTTGTATATTCTACATAATATGATAATTGTAGATGAGCGTGATCTCAACGCACCAACTGAAGTAAGAAGAGAAGTTACACCCCCGGAGGTTGAAATAGAAGCAAATAAAAGTATCCGGTTCCAAGAATTTCTGGCTCGATATAGAAAAATCAAGGATTAAGAAGCTCATTTCTCTCTTTGAAATGCATTAATTGATCATTTATGGGAAAATATTTGTCTTCTAGTACATCGTAAGATTATGCTATGGTTTGTTCTTATTTACATTATGTAATATAATTATTTTTATACAATAAAATTTTAAATTATATAAAATCATAATTTGGTTGAACAATTTCTCTAAATAAAATAAATAGGTAAAAGTTTGTAAAACTGAAAAGTTGAAGATCTTGTTAGCAATTAATAATAAAATAGAGATATAATATGCTTGGAATATTCTTTTTGAAGACAAATATGAAGAAAAATACTTCATTTTTGAAGGAAAAACTGAAGAAACTATTGGAGATGCTCTTATTTTTACTCTTATTTTTACGTTAGAGCATCTCCAGTGGTTGACTTTATTTTTACTCTTAATATAGAGTTCTCTAAAAAATAGAAAAGGACTTTATTCCAATGGTCATCTCTATATTTGACTCTAATTAAAGTTAATAATTCAAATATAGTATATTTTTAGTGTTAATGGCTTCTAAGATCTGCTACTTTTAAAATTTTTTTTCCTTTTTATTAATTTTACTTCTATAGTATTTTTGCTCTGGTTGATCTTTAAAATTTCTTCTGATTGATTTCTTTTGGATAAGCACAAAAATAAAAGCTTTTACAAAAGCGGATATCCCCGGCAACATACTAACATTCTTTTGGAAAAAACAATTTGTCTTTAAGGATCCCAATATGGATTGTTTAAATATAAACATTAATAAAAAAATATCATTCTATCTATTTTATGTTTTAACAATAATAGAACATAAATGTATTAAAAAAAATTATTTATCATAAAAATTTATTACACCACATAAGTTGAATAACAAACAACTAATACATTTTTGTTTAGGCATCACAATTAGTATACTTCTCTCACAAATAAACAATTAACGCATTTTGAAGTAAGAAATGAGCTTCTTTAATTTTGATTTTTCTATATCGACCAAGAAATCTTAAAATCGGATATTTTTATCCTCTGCTATCTCAACCTACGGAGTTGGAGCTTCTCTTCCAACTTCAATTGGCGCATTGAGATCACACTAATCCTCGATTATCATATTATGTAAAACTATACAAGTGGTCATTATGGCATATATCATCAATTTTTTTTCTAAAAACGGGCTGGTCATTTCGCAATTGCAAAACACGAGTACAAAACTCTCAAGGCACATTCAACTCTTTCCAACATTCTTCTTGTTGTGTAGCAAATTTTTTTTTCTTAGGATCTGTTGCTTTGTGAATAGTTTGCACTACAATGGACCATTTTGATATATCATCAGTCAAATAAATAACCCATATTCTATTTTCATCAAATGACATACTGACAAGGACGAGCAATACATTGAGCGAGATTGGAAAAAAGATCTGAAAACTCCAATACATTAATATCAATATTGGTGCATGGCATTCCAAAGTACACATGTCATATCCAAATTTTATAATCTGCTACATCTTCAAGAATTATAGTTAGCGAGCCTCTACGTCCCGCATATTGTGGAAGCCTCCTTAATCTTCAAAAAATCCTCCAAATATAGATTAAAATCTGGGCATTCGTCAGGTGTCAACACCATCTTCACCAATATAGAACAGTTTGTTGTAAAAGCTACCTTCGTCTTCAGGTTTGCAAAAGCTTCATTCATATTCTTCGTCTGTGGGATATGTGATATCAAAAAGAAGGTGAAAGCCTCTTTAATCTTCACAAACTCCTCCAAATATAGATAAAAAAAAACTGACCATTCTTCAGGTATTGACACTATCTTCACCAATTCAGAACAGTTTGTTGCAAAAGCTATCTTTGTTTTCTGGTTTGCACTCATTCAAAGCATAGCCCATATGAGAGCTTCTAGTTCAGAATAAAGTAGGGTTAAGCTACGCTTGTATATTCCTCGCTCCTAATATTATACTGTCAATGCCATCCTTAAACTAGAACCACCATAGACCAGATGTCTTGTCGGTTTTGTTCCAAGAACTATCTATATAGCACCACCACCCAACATAATGCATGGAATGTGATAGATGGAATGCTTACAATTTGTATATTGGCTTCCGGCTTATTTCATTGTGCCATAGTACCGCTTCTGTTTCCGCAACCTTTAGTGTTATTTGTGGACCTTTGTCTATATTTGAGTATAACTATTTCATTTTCTCTTTCCAGATATACCACATTATCCATGAAAATTGTGAGTTTGGATTATCTTTTGGAAGTCTCCAAAAAGATGATGAAAATTTGCAACGCTGTTGGAAAAGTTCCTGCTGGAGTAGGTATTTGAGATAAAGTCCATGCTTGCCAATGACAAAAATTTAAATAACTGAGGAATTCAATGTGATACACAATGCTTTCAGTGTGGAGTAGAGGAGAAAATAATTAATCAGGCACTTTTCGAATGCCCACAAGTAATAGTTTGCCAAATGAAATGCCTTAGTTTTGGTGAACATTTATGATTCCATGCCTGTACCTGTAATGTTTTTATGTGTGGTCCATAAAACACCTCATGATCTCTCACTAGATGATGGTTTTCCACTTGATAGCCATATTTTACCGTATACTGTCCGGAATTTTTGAAATGCCAACCGAAAGAATCTGGTCTATAAGTACTGCTAATATGCATACTCCCAATTATTTCTACATCCTTTGGTTCAATAATTGCGTTAATTGAATCTAGAGATCATGTTTTTGTCGCTGGGTCAATCAAATGATTAACGTTTAAGTTCGGGTAATAATTATAACCTTTACATATGCAGATCTCGGACGAGAAAAATGTATCTAGGGGTCATGTCATATAGATATGGAATTCCTAGAACCAACTCTTTTGCTTAGTCGTTTAATAACCAGTGATCTTGTCGAGGTAATGCTACGCCATCCATATGATGGGGAATATAATCTGATAAGATCAAGGGGATCTAATTTTTGGAAGTACCTCCCTTTAAAAACTTTTGCAAACAGAGATTGTGTTTTATCTATTAAACGCTACATCTGTTTTGCTAATAAAGATGTATTAGCATCAACTAAATTGCGAAAAAACCATTCCTCCTTTTGATTTATTTCTACATATTTTTTTCCATGTTAACCAGTGCATTCCTTTTTTATTCCCGTTTGAAGACTACTAATATCGAGACATTGTGCTAGTTAATTTTGTTGTGACTGCTTTAGGTAGACACAAGCATGACATAACGAAAATGGGCATTGCCGATGCCAATGATTTAATTAAAACCTCTTGCCCCGTTTTAATAAAAACTTGAGGTTCAACCATTTACTTTATCTTATTGTCGCTCTACTACATAATAACAAATTTTTATTTTTTTGCCCTCCAAGGCTCTCCAAGAGTCCTAGATAATATGCCATGCCTCCAATACTTGATATTCCTGGAGACTGTTTTAATCATTTTATACCATATCATGGACCTTATGACCAAATTGTATTGACGATTAATCATACTTAACTTTTTATCCAGATACCTTCTCATAACGACTGAGTATTTTGAGAATCATCTCACACTCCTTCTTAGTAGCTTTGCAGAAAAAGAGACTGTCATCAGCAAATAGTAAATGTGTGACATCCGGGCTTGCACATGCAATTTTAGACCCGTTAGAGAATTATTTCTTTCCGCTTTCTTAATATTTGCTATTAAGACTTCCGTACATAGTATATGGTGATGAAGGGTCACTCTGCTGGAGACCCCTTTTCAGTTGTATTTGGCCTATTGTTTGTCCATTAAGAAGGATTTTATATTGAACCGATGTATTACATCGCATCATCCTTGTGATCCATTTTTCCGTGAACCCGAATTTTCTCAACATATATTGTTCAAAAATCCATTCTACTCTATCATACGTTTTACTCATATCCGTATTTATGGGCCTAAATTTTTCTTTACATAAGTTATTGGTTCTTAATCCAAAAACATTTCCTGTGCTATCAGTATATTATCAG